TCTCCATATGAGTTTGATATGAAAGGTAATTTATGCCTTATTGGTACGGTGACCATATTTTTTCGGAGAAAATAAAGGACACTTGTAACGTGACATGAGGAGGGGGGTTATGGTAATTTAAATTGTGCTCAATAATTTTGTGTTAGGGGTGGGGTTTGTGCATTGTCGTGTGACGTCACAAATGTTAATTTGGGGTCTTCCAAGGTGTGACAAATTGTGACATGGGGATTGGAGATGGGCAGGGTCAAAATTATCCCAAATATTGCGATCATTTATGGACGCCTCCTGATAAAAAAAAAAAACTCCAAAAAACTTAGTAATTCAAAAGGTTTATTAAAACAACAGAAGCAGACATTAATATGTTCAATGAGTTTTAAATAATGTAATATGTAAATATAGGTTTATATTTACATATTACGATCTAGAGTTGCAGAAAACCAATTTGAGAAATTTGATTTTGCGACGATTTCTCAAAATAAAGGACAATATGCTTATTTCAGGAAATAAATAAAGTTAGAGGACAGAGCCTTCAAATAAAGGACTGTCCTCTGAAATAAAGGACGTCTGGTCACCGTACTTATTGGGTTGGCCTGATTTTGTAGAGTGAGCTGTAGTCTATTTTGTAGAGCCTTCCAAAAAGGATGGAAGTGACAGCTGATGAAAAAAGTGGAGACATCTTGCTTATCCAAATATAAAATATCTGTAGTATAAAGCTGTCCAAAAAGCCAGTTTCGAACATGTGAAAGAAAAATTTCATAATACTCTGTATAATAGAGTTTGTGTACAGAACCTGTTGTTAATTGAACAAAGGTCTCTAAATACAGTATTGCTAGATAAATGAGAAGAAATTCAATGAAACTATTTGTATAAGAACTTATGCTTAGTGAAATAGAAAAAATACTGTACTGATAGAAAAGATGAATGCCAAATGTCATCAGTGGGCAAGAAATGTTAAATTTCAAAATAAGGCAAAGTCACAAAAGAGCAAAGACAGGAAAACTGATTAAAGAATTGTCTTTTCCGGAAAGGGCGGTTTTCAACCCAACCTTTATAACATGATTTCTCCCATCTCCAGCTGAAATGATGGTCAACCAAAGACTAGAAATGAAGTTGCTAATGATTAAACTTTTGAATCCAGAGTTATTTAACAACATTAGAAGGAAGTAATTGAACAGAAAAATGCTTAAAAGTTCTGTTATAATAAATTGGTTCATTCATTCTGAGGACTTATATCAGAAGAAAATATGAAATAACAAAAATAAAAAATAAAACTGGGAGTCAGCCAAAATAATCTGATAAAGGCAAGTTTTCCTCGATTTTATTATATCCAGAATAAGTTAAGTCGTATGATGGTATTGAAAGTATGTTAGTAAAATCAAGCACTATTTTCAAAGAATAAACAGACTCTAATGATGATGTTATAATCACATTCATGACCCCCTTTGTAAATTTACTAGACCTAATATGAATTTTATTTGTTGAAAGAGACGGAACTCTTAAAATGGTTGTGCCCACAGAGCACCTGCTTCTCAAAATCATTGTTTTTTTCCTGAATTGAAATTTTATTATATATGCATCATGCCATTAAAGCTTACGTGGAAGTTTTTAGGAAGAATTTAATAATCTTATTCTGTGGCATTGCATTATGCAAAGCATAGTGAAAGTAGACTGCATAAATGAGTTTATGTGAATTCTTGGTAAAATTAATTTTAGTACTTCTTTGTTTCATAGTTGAAGTTTGAGGTTTAGTAAAAATTGGCCCAATTAAAAAGGATTCATTGAGACATTACTTGTAAAAATATAAACTTTGCATTACCGTATTTGACGGTATATAAGACACACTTTTTTTCTAAATTTGGTCTCAAAAAAGTTACCTGCGTCTTATACATGAAGGACACAGATTAACTTTCAATACTGAATGCTATTTTTAGCCCGGATAAAGGTCTAGACACACATAACTTTTTCTACATCTGCCATAATTATTTTGCGCATGCGTGAAATATCTGTCGCCAAAAAGCGTTGAAGCTGATGTTGAAGTTCGAACAGGTTCGACGGTCACATTACGTCTATGGAGCGTCCAACGGGTGTAATTGTTCATGTTCATCCAAAAGGCTGGATGGACAAAGCTGGAATGAAACTGTGGTTACAAAACGTATGGGCGAGGTGACCTGGTGGACTCTTAAGAAATCCCTCTCTTTTCGTTTTGGATCAGTTTAGCACCCATAGAACTGAAACCATAAAGAATAAAGTGAGAGAACTAAAAACCCAGATTTCTGGTGGACTGACTAGCCAATGGCAGCCTTTAGATGTATTGGTGAATAAGCCATTTAAGGAAAAAGTGCGAGAACGATGGAACAAGTGGATGGGAGAGCCACATTATACCCTCACACCCTCAGGTAAAATGAAGCGGCCCTCTATTTCACAAGTGTGCAAGTGGGTAAAAAGATCTTTGGAGGACGTAAAGGCTGAATTAATTGTTAAGTCCTTTAAGAAATGTGGAATCGGTAATGCTCTTGATGGAACAGAAGACGATGCATTATTCGAAGAAGGTGATACTAGCGATGATGGAAACAGTACTGATGAGGATATTCTCATTTTCGATGATGATGATAGTGTTGAATATAGTATTTTTATGGTTTTTGAAAGTGATTAAAGTCTAATTTCATGATAGGCAACGTTTTCCTTGAATCTGTGTTTTTTGTTGTTTCTGCTTTATTTTGTATTATGTTTGATTGCTTGCCATTCATTCATTTGTTCATTATTGAAATATACATATCATGTTCAAAATAGCTTGCCATTTGTTAGTTTTCCTTAATAAAAATATGTTTGGTAATTGCATTTATTGATTGTTTATTTGGCTTTTACGAAACGTGAGAACTAAAATAAACCGTACTTTAAGTTGAAACTTTTTTTCCTTGTGTGTAGCCTTCTAAATAAGGGTGCGTCTTATATGCCATCAAATACGGTAACTTTTTTTGCATCAAATTTAATTTTTCATGATTTATGCAATATGAAGTTTGATGCCTAATCAGCATTTGTACTGTTATGAAAGACAATTGCAATTGATTTTGTACTGAAATTTGGTATACTTTTTGTTTATACATGTGATAAGTATTTTCCCTGTGGTACTTGAATGAAAATTTTCCTTCATAGTTTTAAATGAACAGAAGAGCTATTCAGATAATTTGTATTTCGTTTATCCTTAAATGTCTTAACTTCATGAATTTAAATTTAAATTTCTCATGGTTTTTGTATTTCTAATACTATTTATTGATTTATTATTATTTTACTTTAGCTTTTTATTTTATTTAATTTTATTTGTTATTTATTAATACCTGGAAGCAGGTGTTATTACTTTCACTATATGAAGAAGTAAAATTGTGTCCAATCAAATAGAAAATGTTACCAACTCTTGCATCATGTTATTTATAAAAAGTTTTTAGCCGGCTGATTATATATTGTCATGTAGCTGCTGTCAGTCCATGCACTGTAATCTGATTTTTTTTTAAAGCGTTTTGATGAGAAAAAATTTAACATATTTCTTTCCACATCCAAAAAATTGATTTTGTAAATACTCATAGCCAAAAAGATTACATTTAGTGTTATTTGAATTGAGAACAATTGACTTGATATTCATTTAAGCCCAAGACTGAGCAGGTGTGACTGCACTTGGTGTCAGAATTTTTAGAACTTAGAGAAGCACCAAGTAACAAAATTAAGAGATGAGAAAAATCTTTAGAATTTAGGGAAGTGACTGCAATGCAAAATTTGGGCTGTTAAAATGTTTTAGAATTTAGAGAGGTGCTTGTCAGGAGAATTTTGTATCTGCAGAGACTGCATCAGGCTACAAAATGCCTAGTGCCTGCCCTGAAGATAAATCTTAAGCATATCCGAGAAAGGGATATAATTATAATAAATAGCTAATGTAATTCTGGCCTAATTTCCTCAGCGCGCGACTGAAGCAAGAGAAGATTTAGTGAACCATACATTTCTAGTCACTAGTCTCATTATAGATAATCAAAAGTGTATAGTGGATGCTAGCTAAGCTTTATGATATAGCTGTGAATTTGAACATTTTGGATATTGCAAACAAAAGGGAAAATTTTCCACTTGGTGAGAAATTGTGAAGAAGTAGTAATAAATGAAGCCCAGTTTTTCATTTCACTGATAATGCTCCCAATCATCAATTAACTAACAGATGGCTTAAATGTGTAATATGACTCTAAATCCTGAAAATATCACTATTGACTGTGAAAAGTGACTGAGATGTGGTAAATGAAAAAATTTCAATTGGCTTTTTAGCGGAAATTGTCAACATGGCATTTAAGGGATTTGAACAATGGGAACTTTGTAACTGAACGAGAAATTGTGTCTACCTGTAGAATTAGAAAGTTTTAGGACACAAAAAAGAAGCAAATTAAAAAACTTGCATTGAAAAAAAAAAAATTTAATAAAGCAAGTAAATAATTTTTTTGAACTTATTTTGTAAATTGATTCCCTTAAGGTCATAAATAATTTCTGCATGTCATCTTACCAGATTTATTTGATGACCTGATATCCAGAAAAATTCTAATTGCCAAAATAATTCTTATTCTCCTGATATCCAAAATCGCCGAAGTCCTAGTGAGACTGGGTCTTGGACTTTATATAGTATCTCAAAATCTTTCTTGCTTCTTCAATTCTTTTCTCATATAAATTGTAGTAAAATAATTTAGTTTTGTATGCATGGAAAAGTTGCAAAAGTTAACTTTGTAAACCACTTTTTCTTTATCTTGCATTTGTATCGTATGATTAAAATGAGACTGTCATAATTTGCGTAGGTTTATGACACAGTCTTCATAATGTGACATTTTTTTCTGTCAAGTAACTTAAAAATTTTTTCTCTGTAAATCACTTTTGTTGTTTTTTCTATCTCTGTTATTACTAATCATGTATAGAAGTCTGGTAAAAGTATATTGAATCGTAATTTCTAACTGCATTTTTTTCTTTTGGGTTTTCAGAAATGTGTGCATCCTGGAGTGTGCAGTTATATTCATAAATTTATGGAACTGGCAACAGAATTTTTGGAAAGAACAACAGAAATTAGATGTAGTTTTCACAGTCCTTGGAACATTAGGTCAGCGATATGAAGAGTTTGTATTTGAAATTGAAGTTATGGAGTCTGACATGATAAAGTAAGGAGTTTATTGCAGTTTCCAAGTCAAGTGAATTATTCTTTATTAACATGTGTTTTTTCACTTTAACAAAGTGGAAAAGCCTCTTTTTATTTAACTGTACAATGTAAGCCTATATTAATTAAAGATTCAGTGGTTAGATCTCAGAACTCTGAAATGTGGTTTTAACTTACAAGTTGTTTCAGCTATTGCTCAGAAATGTGCATGTAGGTCCGGAATATGTTAACAGGCAATAATAATGTAAAAACATAGGTTGCATGTGCAACCCCAACATGCTGCACAACCACAGAGACAGAAAGATGCAAGACAGGTCACAAATAATGAGGATTTGTTAGAACAAGAAAAGTATGCACAATTGTGTTGTTTAAATTGAAACTGCGAAAGGAGGTGCTCAAAGTTGGGGCCTGCAGATTCAGCACAATGCCTTGCAGTGATGATGCATTGATCAACAAATGTTTGTAAGAATGCTGCAAGTATCAGCAACATCATTTCCTGCAATAATGAGTACCCATAGGTCCATGTCCAATTCGACAACTTTCATGCGCTAGACATTTCACATAGCCCCCAACAAAGAAATCAGTAAAGAAGAGGTTTGGTGATCAAGGTGGTCATGGTATGGGTCCAGCTTGTCCAGTCCATTGCAACATAAACATATCATCCAGGTGCTGAAAGACAATACGAGAGAAATATGTTGAAACACTAACAGATTGAAACCATATGCACTGTTGCACATGGAGAGATACATCTTTCAGCAATTCCAATATTACTTGTGCCTGGAAGGTACGATAACTCACTTCATCCAGTCTTGATGGAAGCGTGTAGGGGCCGATCACTCTGTCATCAAGCAGACCTTCCCAGACATTAATACTGCAGTGATGTTGATACTCAGATTGTCGTGCATGCACATGCTGATTGCACACATTGCACTTGCCTTCCAATGTAAACATTACTTCATTTGTAAACAACACATCAGCTACATAGTTGGAGATTGCAGTCATCTGCCTAAGAAACCAATGTGTGAAGTCCACATGCTGCTGGTAATAGCTGGTGGACAGAGCTTTCATGCTGTATAGTTGGTATGGCTGCTACTCATCATCATGCAGTACGTGCCAGATGCTGCATGAGACATGTGTAAACATCACCTCAAGTATACAACTCAAGTACTTGTCTCTAGATCATGTTGTGTCGTATCTCATTTCTGACACAAGCGTAGAAGCACAGTAGTTGATTCTGGTCAGCGTAGAAGGATAAGTACTGTTTTGATTTAGGGCTCTTATGATGGAAAGTTCGTGCTGAGTTCTTCAGTGGAGATGTGCATTCATTTCTTCTTGGATGTATTGAAAAGTTTAAGATGACAATAAAAGTAAAAAGAATGCAAAGCAAAAAGCCTTTCAGAAGCTTCCTTCTTTGCCTGTGTGTTTAATCATGCCTCATTAATCACCATCATTGTATAGTGTGCTGCTTAGAACAGTTTTGGTATTTGAATTGGAGTTGGCTTTTGCTTATAGCAGTTTGAGTGTCTCACTAATTGCCACATGAAGGAGACAGCACACAATAACACTTGGCTTCTGCCAGCATGGTCTGTTCCAGGTGAAGTGTTCACATTAGTCTCTCAACACTAGTACCATTTGTTTGTGCTTTGAATCTTCCTGTTTCACACAATTGATTATGCAGATGTCTGAATATCTCATGACCAGGGATTCATGTTTTGGGAAACTGGGATAGGTACAGTCCTGAGAGACATTTTGATTGTAATTAGCTGCCCAATAAACAAGGTGCATATTTGTCATTTCACTGTTTGAAAAGTGAAATACTTTCCTTTCGCTCATACACGAAAATGGGTGTATAAGTGCGTCTCTTTATCTCTTATGTCTGTTAATTATGGCCAGACTTCCTCCCAATGTTCAGCAACCTCTTGCCCCCTCGGACTTGTGCGTTCAACCCTATATCCCCATATGATTATTCCTTGTTGTCGTGTTCTGGACCTGTATGCACATTTTTGAACAATAGTTGTGAAACGCTCTGTATATGTAATTTTAATGCTTCTGAAAAGGAGAAATGTTGGAGAAATATTTCATTTTTACTCTCTCATATTCTTATGAAAATTAATAAATCATTAAGATGTGTCTTATCCTTATACATTTTAAAGTAACCTAGGAAAAAGTCTAATAAATAATATTGTTGAAAACTGGCAGCATGTAATATGTTAAGTAAAACATTACATAATATGTAATACCTTTACGTCCACACATAAAAGATCAGGTATAACATTTAAATGTTACAATACATAAATAGAATTGTTGTTAAAAATTTGCTAGTGCCATTAACTGTTAAACAAAAAATGAGAGATTTGTTGGGTTTTTGAAAATATGTGGAATGAGTATTTTGCTCATGTATGAAAAGCCTTTCTTTCTTTCTTCTGTTCAGTTATAATCAAGGCGATAGAGTAATAGTTGTCCTTAAAAAAAATTTAGTGCATAAAGCTAGTAGTTTTAAAAGACTGATGACTGCTCATTATTAGTATAAGTAAATTTTGAATGAGAATTACTAGTACAGTAGAAGTCCAGAAATCCACAAAGCTTGGGCCAGAAGTTGTGCGGATTTTAGGATTTTGCAGATTTCAGGACAGAAAGGATAAATCATAATATTCAGACTAAAAGTGCAAAATAAATAAGGCGTATTAGATACATTTAATTAAATTATTATATACATTATTGCAATAACTTATATGCATTAAATTATTATTACATATATTAATTGATTATATTATATGTAGACAGCATTGAGTTTGCCGATTTCGCCTCATGCAAAGATTTCTGGTGTTAGAATCACTGTTGCTGTAAAATTTCAACAGCTTTTCTTTATTTTTCCATATAGCATACACAATCGCGTCGCAACTCCATACGATTCTGCTCTAAACCAAGGAGTAGCACCTGCCTCCATCTCTTGCAGAATTTGCACTTTTTGCATTACCGTCAACGCAACGTGTTTACGTTTTTCTATGTTGCAAGTAGTAAAATCGTGAGTGCGTTTCTTATCTGTCTTAAAATGGGTGTATAAGTGTATCTCTTATGTCTGTTAATCATGGCCAGACTTCCTCCCAATGTTCAGCAACCTCTTGCCCCCTCGGACTTGTGCGTTCAACCCTATATCCCCATATGATTATTCCTTGTTATCGTGTTCTGGACTAAATAATCTCGTGAAATAACAAAGCTCAGAAAATACAACAACGTGAATCGTGAACTTGAAAGAAGAGTGAATTGTCTGCTTTTTTACCTCGATGCAGATTATAGGGAAAAAAAACTTTTATCATGATGTCAATAATTTGGTATTTCCATTATAACTCATTATTATTCGGTAATTATGACTTTATTATTCGGTATTTTTTCTTTATTATTTTTTATATTTCGTAACCGATGTTGCGGTTTCTGAAACCTATAAGCTGAATGTTTATATTTTGAGAGGCAATGTGGATTTCAGGGGTTGGCGGATGTCAGGTCGGCGGATTTTCGGCATTTGTCTGTATCAACTAAATTATGCTAACGGTGCCATCAACAAGAAAAAATTCCTCTTTAGGGAAAATATTTGAGCATTTTATTTCAGTTCTTACTACAGAAAAAGAAATGCAAGTTTGGAAAGGTTTTTGCAGTTTACTTCAAAATGCAAAATTCTAAATATGGAAAATCTGTTCCAAACTTTTCTCATATTTGCTATAACTGTTTCTAGTTGCGAGAAGAGTAAAACTAAGTAAAAATTATTTAACACATTTTTAAAAACTCTTAAATGTTTATTTTGTATTTACGAAATTGCCCTTTCCTGTTTACATAACAGCAACTGGAGCAATCAAACGGACTTCTGCGAAAAAAATCTATAGTTTTATGAACTAAAACACAGGCAAAATGGTAGTATAATTGTAAAATTTTCCTTCAAAAATAAAGAATTTAAATTAATTTTTATGACATATAATTTACCACATATATCATTTTGACTTTTGTTTTGTTATTTATGATAAAAAAAGTGGAACCATGGTTACTTTGCATTGCATTTCTAATTTCTAGATTCTTAATTTTCAACTAGCAGTGTGGCTTTTTCTTTTCACGTGTCAGATTACAGAACAAAAATCTGAATAGCCGATATGACCATGCAAGGCAGTGGGTTAAAAAGAGTGCAAAAACAGTTTTCTTATATCGAATCCATACTAATAACTGATATGAATTAAAAAGATTGCTTTGTTTTTTTGCTGTCATGTGCACCTAGTGTTTCTGATTTCTTGTTACTTGTTAACTAATTAGTTTTATTATTTGACATTAATTATCAATTTTATTTTCATCTTGTTAGAAGTACTTTAATGAAAGCTTTCTTTTCTTCTTTATGTAGGAATTTGTGAGTATAAACATGTAAGAAATAACGTGTACAAAACTTCTTTTTCCTTCCGCAGGTTTGGTTAAAAAGCTAAAAATTATAGTCATCTTGTGAGAGAGTTCCATTGCTGTTCGAGTAGGTAAATGGTTTATCTTTTACGATCTAGCATATCTCTGGGAGGAGCAGGATTGCTTAGTATTATTTGTCTTTAATTCAGTGTCATGTTATTGATAAACTCTTTGTATCAGTGTCTGATATTCTGAGAAAATAAGTTCCAGCTAGTCGGAGAAATATAAATGATCCTATAATGCTTTACTTGAAGCGTTACTGATTTCATACATATTTCCATACTTGTTTTAAGTCTAGCCTCAAATTTAAGTCATTAACAGAGGCTATGGTTAGTAATGGTGTCTGAATCCAGCCATAAGTGAAAACATCAGATGTAGCTAAGCATTTGTTTTGAATTCTTTTTCTCTCATTGAGTTTGAAGGTATTTTGCTGGTTGTAAAAATGTAGGCTTATAATACATAATAAAGGAGGTTATCTGAAGCTGCTGTTGTTGCCTTGGTAAGCTTTAGATAGTTATATCTAGGCTGTAATTTACTGTTATTTAAGTGTGGTAAATATTCTAGTGCATT